AATGAAGTCTGGTATAGAAGTCAGATTCTGACCACTGCCAGGCTTCCTTTAACTTGTTTTCCACTAACAACTCTTGGGAAGTCAGAACAGACTCAACTGTACTTACCAACACAGCAACAATGACAATAGCATTATGTGTAGAATGAACACTTTGACCCTAAATCTGGCATCCTCAGAGGCAATCTGGGGACATTCCAAGGACTATCACTAAGGGATATGAAGTAGAAAACAAAGTCTTCTGTACCCTCCTTCTAGGACAATGATCAAAAGTTTCTCTGGGCCAATTTTTTCCTGAGTGTCACATTTTCTTCATAGCAGTGTTTCCTTGAATAGAATTGGATCCTACAATGTCTAGTGGCCCTATTTTCTCTAATAGTCTATGATTTTAAAGGGAGATCAAAGAGTCAAGGGGTCTGAATTGGGGCCTCTAAGATGTCTCCATATCTTGATTTGTTACTTTCCAACCACAACTGTTGTGAAGTCCAACAATAGGACCATTTTATTTGTCCCCAAATGGCTCTTTCACCATTTAATTGCTTTCAATGTCTCCTCCATATAGTGCAGGGGAAAATGCAGTGTACAGTCAATTCAGACAGTGAAATTGGATAACATGTTGCCACATTTATCTCCAAGGAATAAAATACAGACATTTTTTATAATTTATAAGCTTTAAGAATTCAATTTTTCTACGTTGGTAAAAAGCAATGGCTTTAAGTATCTGAAGAGAATAAAAATTAAATGTTCATTAATATGCATTACCAGAAAACTACTGACAACCACAGTGATTGAGGAGTACAATAAATGCTGAGGTCTTAGTCAACACCAACATCAGACAGCCCAGAAACTCATTATGCAACACAAATGTACAACCATGACCAAATTTCTGGACAATTAGAATGACCTTCCTAAAAAATGTATACTCAGTTCATTTCATTAATGCCATATGTTCAAAATTAATAATTTTTAAGTAATAAAACATAGTCCTTTGTTTCAATACCAATAGTATATAATGAATGTGCAAAACAAAGAAAATTAAATTAGTTTAGAGAGACTTTTTTTCACAAATACTTCATCATGGAAACCATACTCAAGAACATGATATAATTTTGTGGACTCATAAAGTCTTTCAAAGTTTAACTGTCACTATGAGAAAGAAATTAAATAATATCAGGAAATGTTGTTGTTGTTAATGTGCTTTAGAATCGGTTCCAACCCATAGTGACCCTGTATAGGGTTTCTGAAGAGTGACTGGTGAGCTTGAACCACCGACCTTTGTAGCTCAAATTGACTTAAGCCTGTGCATTAACCCACAGCACCACATAGCTACATGCAAAGTAAATTTAGAGAGTCCAGGGTTATGTGTTAGCAAAAGTGTATCATTAGTTGTTCTAATCATGCTACAAGAATAGTCTGATTTCTGCAGAGATCTTGGACTTTCTGTCACTTGATGCAGCAGGGACAGTAAGACAGGCATTAACAGTTGTCAGCTGTCTCCAGGCATCTCTTGGTCCAAGAGGACTGCTGAGCCTTTTTCTTCTAAAGCTACTAGACTATCTCATGGTCTGTGGCAGGCAAAGGGGGAAAACACTAATGGTGGGAATCTGGCATAATTTGGATTCCAGACTCAATTTGACCATGTGTATCACACCACACCAAACTAAACAAAATCAGAACTATCCTTCCCAGAATTCAGAAACACCTGAGGTAGGAAAGATACAGACTTTCCTTGCTAGGCCCAATCATATTGGTGGAACACACAATTGGGGAGGAGAGGAGAAATTGGTGATTTGAGATGCCAAAACCCAGCAACATTTGTACTGTAGAGCCCTGGAAGTGTAGTGGGTGACATGTTGGGCTGCTGACAGCAAGGTCAGCAGTTCAAGTCCACCAGGCTCTTCATGGGAGAAAGATGAGACTTTCTGCTCCTGTAAAGATTTACAGCCTCAGAAACCCTTTACAGGGTTGCTATGAGTCAGACCACCACCATTAAGGAAATAGAACTCTTATGGTATCTACACTTAGGGGAATCTTTTGCAAACATTAATTACTATAAAATCTAGATGCATAGGGAAATTATGATACTATGATGGGTCAGGAAAGAAACCACTCCATTATAACAATAATAGAAAATATGTATTTGCATATAACACAGAGAATGCATAGAAAATGAAAATATTTTCTTTTTTGGAGATTAAATTATAGAAAAAAATTTCTTATGATCACATTAATGTTGCTATACTATTCTTTGTTCAATAACATTTTTAAATTCTTATTTTTAAAGCTGGGTCCATTTTGACCAGTGTTTCAACAAGATTTAAAAGATTTTGCAAGGTTTACCTTTTTTCTGCTTAAATTATTTAGTGAGATTTCCACTACTTCACTTTTAGATTCAAGGACTAATGTGTCCTCAATGTTGTCATTTATTAATATAAAAAAATATTACTTGCACAAAATGAAATCACAAAACCAAAATTTGAAAGTCACAGGGTTCTTTGATCTATTCTGATGAAGTGTATACCCTAATATATACCAATTATATACCATACTTGATTCATAACTAAGAAAAACTGAAGTTCATATAGACAGTTTACTCCAGCAATGTCACTTACAATTAGTAGGAAGACTCGTAAATACTAAGAAATGTGTACAGTGTAGATCACAACTTGTAAATGTTATAAAATTCCTGAAGACAACACTGTGTTTCTGACCGTAAGTTGTCAAAAACATCAGTTGGAAATTGGAGTTTCCAGCTGATAAACTGGCAATTCAGTAACTGTTATTATTTGATTGTAACCTACATTACCATCAAGCTTCTCACCTGGAGTGAAATGAGTTGCTTTTAAGAGCACAATGAAAACAGAGCTGAAGTCCCAAACTGAGGGCATCATGAAGAATTGGAAATGTGCCTGCCTAATAGCACCAGCCAAGAAGAGTGGAAGAGCTAAGAGGATACTGAAGAATGCCCACAGAGAAAATAAGTAGAGGATACTAAAGGCACACTTGGTTCAGGTCATCTCTTGAATGAGTGCTTGAAGCCAATAATGACAGCATGCTCATTGTCTGTGTGTACATGTGGTTGTCATTATCAGTCTGTCTCCTTGAGATGTGGACACACACCACAATTACTGCACTGATTGGATTTTCACCTATATAATGCAAATAAACTTTTCATTAAATTGTAAATTCAAGAACTACGTATCATTGTGAGATTAAACAGGCGTGATTAAGGGGAAAAATAAATTCAGGGAAGCATCTGTAAGTAGCAGCAAACTTCTATTTCAGAGAATCTTGATCCTGATCAGGGTCACAAAGTCATCCAGCCCCACTCCAACTCTGGGCTTGATAGGATGTTACATAGTCTACTTCCCAATACTGCTTCCTGCTACAGTCAATGCTGCTGCTAAGAAGCCTGATGATGCCCTCAGGCTCTGTGGCAGGGAAGAGAATTGATAACATTTGACTTTATTGAGAAAGTCTTGAGTGCACAGAAACCCAGGTGTTCTTTGCTTTGATTGTAAGATCTTTATGTTTGAATTATAAATGTTTGAAGATACTCCTGCATAGTTTCAAACTTTGTAGGTAAGACACAAATTTGATTAAAGTTTATTGTAAGAATCTTTGCTATGATGTCGTGTATGTTTTTCCTTTTGGTCATCTTAACTGATACATGTACGGAGTAAATTAATGTACTAGGCGAGTTCCCCATCTGGCCCTGTTCCAGGAAGTAAACCATTGAGCCTTTCCTAATATTCTTATGCAAGATAAATAAGATTTAAATGAACAGAAAATTGGAATAGGAAATAGCTTTAAAATGTGCAAACCACATTCAGAGAAAAGTAGAGGTAAGAGTGTAGTTCACAGTGGGGCATTGGGCAGTCTCAGCCCCTAGATCTTGATGACAGTGGAGCTTTAAGAGTTCCACATGGTCTTCTTTTAAAGCATGCTGCCTCCTTGAGTCATTCGCTCATATGCCAGTTGCTTCCCCAAAACGGAAGTGTCTGCTTCCCGAGACACAGGCATGAGTTAAGATCAGGGCTAAGGACATAGCCACAGGCTGACCAGAAACAGATGGGACAAGAGCCCAGTCTCATTCACAGCACACTTGCACCTTCTGCTCACCATCTTCTGCGCAGTGAGCAGAAACCAGGCTCAAGCCACCAACACATGCTGCCAATTACCTCCAGGGCCTCTCAAAAGTCAAGAGACGTTTGGGCTTCTTCTACTTTTTTGAGGGTATCATTACATATAAAAATGAAGAAATGCCTAAAAATAGTTATAATAATTTTGGTACATTTTTTCATGTTTACCTATAAATCATTACTTTTAAACACACACACAAAAAAAGGTTATACATCAAGGGAGAAAAGCGGAGTGCAGGACCCTATCCAGAGAAGCAGCGACATCAGAGATGGAGGCAGAGATGATGATGTGGAGAGATGGAGTGGTTGGGGACTCTAGACTCAAGGAGGGAGAGGGGCTGTGTTCTGATGGCTGGGGGGCAAGGCTTGCAGGGTAGCTCTTGGGTAGTTTGAATGGTTGTATATTCCTGAGTGCTTCAGTGTACATTAAAAAAAAAAACCAAAAAACAGAGGGAATGGAAGCAAATACTGTTGAATGATGATGCATGGAGGGGATTGTAATCATTGCAATGAAACGAAATATGATAGGATGCATGTAAAGCTGATGTTCTCCCATGTAAACTATTACTCAATTCACAATAAAAACTTTTTAAAAATTACAAAATCTATGAAACTACTAAATCACAGCACACTATAAATCATGTGGTCCGCTTTATAGGACACAAGTTTGAAGTGGTCTGATGTCTTCTCTTACTCATTTACAGTGTAACTCCAGACATAATATTCATGTTTACACTTGAGACCTTTCCTGACTAGGAGGCCCAGACCATATGGGCCTTCTCAGTCCACCTGTGAAGTGTACTCTTGGCCTTTCCCAGATGCTCCTAATTGGAATTTTTTCCTTAATCATGAGCCTAGCACATCGCCTGCTCCAACTTATCGTGATATTATCAAGGAAGCAAAAAAGCAATTTTCAAAGAACCGAAAGGATTTTAGGATGTAAGTTGATGTTATATTGTTAAATTTTGGTGTGTGTTTTTTTTTGTTTTTTTTTTTTTTAAGAGACCTTTCTTTACAACTGGACATGATCGTAGAAATCATCTAAACTTATTTTGCTGATGAGAGTTGTTTCTGAACATCTTACAGACTCTGGGATTCTATTCAGGTAAGTGTCACAGGTGCATGTGGTACCACAGAGCCATGGTGAGTGTCAAGGACTGGAGAAAGAAAGGAAGCTGCTTTGCTGTGGCTTGACTGGGGTGGGGGGATGTACCCCAAGATAGAGCATGCCAAGAGACCGTTCCAGGGAATAGAGATTAGAGAATCGTCCACTTACAAAGATCAGTCCTTTCTGAAGAAGAGCAGAAACGTTTCCTGTGGTAGGAGTTCCCTAGATCTGGGGCGGCATATAGGGTGATATTAAGAAAGGCAGAGGGGTCTTTTCTGAACTGTTACTTTGAAAAAATGTTTTCAGTGTTTTGTGCTTACATGATTCCTCATGGATAGCTAGGGTATTCTTCTATGCTGCTGCTGCTGCTGCTGTTGTAAATTACCATCAAGACAATTCTAACTCATGGGAACCCACATAGGGTTTTCAAGGCTGTGACCTTTCAGAATCAGATTGTCAAACCTGTCTTTCAGAACACCTCTAGGTGGGTTTGAACCACCAATCTTTTGGTTAATAATCGAGAACGTCATTGTTTGCATCACCTGGGATGTCACTAGGAAGCTAAGAATGGGCTAATGAGAGCATTTCATCTGTTTATCAATAGAATAAATTGGCAAGGTCTAATTCTTCTGTCTGTGATATCAAGATAACTGCCTAGAGGTGTTATCTCCTTGAGAGATAGAAAGGGTGGACAACCTCCCCTTTGGGCAACTGACACTGTTCAGAAAACACCTCCAAGAGAGGTAAATAGAAGAGTAGCCAGCTAGGTTCTATCCAGCAGGAAAGCAGGAGTGTGAGACCTTGCTTTCCACTGACTCCCCATCTTCCATCATACCTGTCACTCTCTCTTACATACACACACACACACCTCAGATTACCTATAGTCAGTGGAACAAACAAGATAGACACCTTGCTGGGGAGCTCCTGTTGAAGCAGCAAGATGGCATCCTGGCTATATTCAACGATCATGGGTGATGCCTTTGGCACATGTTTATAAGAGGGGATGTGCTGAGGGATTACTCACAGTAAATAATGCATAGGGAGGGAACCCTGAAGAATTGGTTTGTAAAGGATTTTACTGACATATCGAAATCATTGATTGATTCTTTCACAATTAGAAGTAACTGCTTTTTATTTTAAAACTAAACTCCAAACTTTGATATTTTCAGAGAAAAGAACAGAATTAATGAAGAAATAAAACTCTTAAGGCAGCGGCAGGAAAGAATTGACAAGGAGATTGATAGGTTTGTTTCTTATTCAACTTTGAAGAGCTAAAAACTACTTTTAATCAGACAAATGTGTTACATAAAACTACAATGGGTTTATTACGTAAAAATACATCAACTCAATTATCTGCAAAGAGGTTTTCTACAGCTCTTTTGGAATACAACTTTCCTTATCCACAAAAATCACCTATTTGATACTTTTAATTGTCAGACATCATCACCATCCTCATCTGCTCTTATTCCTCCAACCATAGGCCTTAAACTCATGGCCTTTGAAAATAAACTCATATCCCCATCCTACCCAAGAAAGATGTTACCTACAAAAACAAGCTATTTAACTAGTCTGTCTTAGGCAACTTCTTGTGTCTCCTCAACCTAGGTCTTCTGCCCTGGCTGCTTACCCGACATACACAAACATTTTCCCCAAAGAAGCAAAATAAAACTGGGCTCACTTTTGTTTCTGTTACAGAGTAAAAAAGGGAAACTAAAAAGTCAGGAGAGTAACTCATTTCTTTGGCCCCAGCCATACACACCAGAATGAGTGTCGGGGAGGACACCAAGAGGACAACTCTGAGCTGGCCCAGGTGCCACACCTGTGATTACTATGTTGGAATTTGCAAACCCAGTTTCCTAGTCACATGAGAAAATAAATCTAACCCATTCGTTTAGACTCTTATCTCAGTTTTCGCCACCAACTTTATCACTCACCTTTTTTCCTTCACGACACCTAAATTATAAAATCCAATTCCAAGTGAACTTTACAAAATTCCAAAATCCAAATCTACAAAAAACCAGATTTCTCACCAATGAGGACATGCAGGATCATGTAGGATCATTCTCACAGCAAGTTCAAGAAGCAACAACATATTGTTGGAGAAAGTGAATGGAAAAATACTCATTTGGTGATATAGGTCTCATGGCCTGATATAGGCACAGTCTCCAAATTTCTACCTGTACTCTGTAAAAAGAGAGATTCCCATGGAGAGAGAAGGTAATCAGAGTAGACAATGGTGCTGGTGATTGGATAACTTTGTGATTATACTGAAAAACACTGAATGGTGCGCTTAAAAGGGTGAAAATTATAGTGTGTGAAATATATCACAATAAAGCTGGGGGGGTTGTTTTTGTTTTTTAAGGAAGGAAAACTGCAAAATTAAAAGAGTGCTTTGGAAGATGGGGTTGATTTTAGCAAAATTTGTTGAACCGGAGTCTGACAATGATTTACCAAGAAAGGGCACCAGGGTTATTACGGAGTGTGTCTAAGTAGGACTATGGGGAAGAGAGCCAGATTTGACACAAGCAGGGTAGGAGAGATGTGAATCTCAGAAGGTAGTAAGATCCAAGGGGAAAACCTAGGTTGGGGAGATAATGTTTGCAAAGATAATGTGGAAAATGATTGAGTCACAGAGAACAAGGCAGGAGGTCCCTGAACTATGTGGTCCTGCTGTACCTTCAGGGGTACCAAGATTAATGGCTGAAGAAATCTAGAGTAAGCTTTCTAGGAGCTGGTTAATCCAGACTGCCCAAAATGCATTTGGAATTTTCAGAAATTTTATTTCCTACCAATGTAATGAAAAGACAATCATTTTTAAATGTTTCACTTGAAACTTGCCAGTTGTAAGAATTGTAGACAATAGCTTTATGCCCCTTTTCATTTCTCTTTCATCTGTCTTTCCCTCGTTAATGTTTCTCCCTTATCCCAGGTAACTCTACTTCCTTGCCTAGCCTACCTCTGCCTCCCCCCACCCCCCATCCTTTGATCTCAGGAAAGATTTCTGCAGCATCCTGAATTCAACCAGCCAACTCATTCATAAATATTTGCAGAATGAGTTCTTAATGACAAAAACCATGCTAGACACCTGTCAGATATTAAGATGAATAAGACATGATTCCTACCCTCAGTGAGATTACAGTATAGCAAGCACCCTCACCCTTCAGAGTTCTCATCTCCCTCTCTTTCTTCCTCAGTCTCTTTATTCAGGGCTCCCAATTTGGCTCCCTGTTGAGAATTTCTATTTTCTACTCTAGATAAATCTGTACCACACATCTGTCAGTTTGTAGGGCTGTGGTGGCTTGTATATGGCTGTAATAATGGAATCTGTATCACCAGTATTTTAAACACCAGCAGTGTGACCCATGGAAAGCAGCTAAGACAGACTAAGAAAGGAAAGGTGGACTACTTCTGAATGTCTAGACACTGAAAATCTTATGAACAGCAGTGCAGCATAGTCAGATAGAATGCTGCAAGATGAAAACATTATGAATCACAGCATAACATCATGTGATATAGTGTCAGAAGATGAGCTCTCAGCTTGAAAGGTACTAAAAATATGACTAATGGAGTTCACCAAAATGACATGACTGGAGTAAAGTCTTCAGGAAGGACCACAACTCAAAATGAAGAGAAGCAGCTGCAAACATCCATTAATAATCAGAACATGGACTGTACGAAGTACGAATCTAGGAAAATTGGAAATTGTAAAAACTGAATTGAAATACCTAAAGATTACCTGGCATTGGCCATTTTGAATCGTGCAATCATATGGTTTACTAAGCTGGGAATGACTAAATCAAGAGGACAGCATTGGACCTCAAGGTAGATGTTGAATGTTTGTTGTTGTTGTTGTGTTTTCCTATCTTGAAGTCCAATGTTATCTGTAATAGGGTAATACCCTTACACCTACAAGGAAGACCAGTTCATATCACTATGCAAATTTACACACCAACCTCTAAAGTCAGTGATGATGAAATTGAAGAATTCCACCAACTTTTCCAGTAAGAAAATGATCATATATGCAATCAGGACACATTAATAATTACTGGTGATTGGAATGTGAAAGTTGAAAACAAAAAGGAAGAATGAGTAGTTAGAGAATAAGACGTTGGTGATAGAAATGATGCTGGAGATTGCAGAATAAAATTTTACAAGACTGGTGTGGTGCTGCAGGATAATGCACTAGACTGCAAGGTCAGTTTGAACCACAGGAGACCCTATACAGGTGGGTATGGCTTCCTCGGAAACCCTATACAGGGTGGCTATGAGTTGGAACCTACTTGACAGCATTTAACAATAACAACAACAACAATGACTTATTAAGTACAAATACTTTGTTTAAACAACATAAAAGATGACTATAAAATGGACCACCAGATGGGATACACAGGAATAAAACTGACTACATAAGACACTGGAAAAGCTGAATACCATAAGCCAAAACAGGCCAGGGGCCAACTGTGGAACACATCATCAATTGCTCATATATAAATTCAGGTTGAAGCTGAAGAAAACAAGACATGTCCGCACGAAGCAAAACATGACTATATCCCACCTGAATTTGAAGACCATCTCAAAAACATTTTTGATGCATTAGCCACTAATAACCAAAGACCAGAGGAGTTGTGGGATGACATCAAGAGCATCATAAAGCAAGAAAGCAAAAGGTCATTTAAAAGACAGGAAAGAAAAAAGTTTAAAAAGGATGCCAGAAGAGACTCTGAAACTTGCTCTTAAGCATAAAGAAGCTAAAGCAAGTGAAAGAAATGAGGAAATAACTGAACAGAAAATGTCAGAGGGCAGCTCGAGAAGACAAAGTCAAGTATTATAATGAAATGTACAAAACCAAAAGGGAAGAACATGCTAAGCACTTCTCAGGATGAAAGAAATGAAGAAGAATAAAACAAGACTTGATTTGCTATATTGAAGGACTCAATGGGCAAACTATTAAATGATGCAGAAAGCATCAAAAGAAGATGGAAGGAATACAGAGAATTACTGGACAAAAAGAAATGATCAATGTTCAACCATTGAAGAGAGAGTATAAGATTAAGAAACAATGATGCTGAAGGAAGAAGGTCAAGCCGCACTGAAGGCATTGGCAAAAACTAGTCTACAGGAATTGATGGAACAAAAATTGAAATCTTTCAACAAACTGATGCAGCACTGAAGGCGCTCACTCATCTATGCCAAGGAATTTGGAAGACTGTTACCTGGCCAACCGATTGGAAGAGAGGTGACCCAAAAGAATGCAGAAATCATCAAACAATATCATTAATATCACATCAAGCAAAATTGTGCTTAAAATAATTTAAAAATTGTTGCAAGAGGGAAATGCCAGAAATTCAAGCCAGATATAGAAGAGGATGTGGGATGAAGCTGATGTCAGATGGATCTTGGCTGAAAGCAGAGAATATCACAAAGATGTTTAGTTGTGTTCTATTAACTATGTAAAAGTGACTACGTGGATCATGACAAGCTATGGACATCATAGCAGAGAATGAGTATTCCGAAACACTTACTTGTGCTCTTGAGAAACCGGTACAAAAATCAAAAGGCAATTGTTAGATTTGAACAAGGGAATACTGAATGATTTAAAATCAGGAAAGGTGTGCACCACACTTATTCGATCTATATGCTGAGCAAAAAATCAGAGAAGAATGTGGCATTAGGAATGGAAGAAGACTCATTAACAATCTGAGATAAGCAGATAATACAACCTTGCTTGTTGGAAGTGAAGAGAACTTAAAATACTTACTGATAAATATCAAAGACTGCAGCATTCAGTATTGATTGCACCTCAATGATGGAAAAACAGATATCCTCACAACTCAATCAGTAAATAACATCATGATAAATGGAGAAAAGATTGAAGTTGTCCAAGATTTCATTTTGCTTGGATTCACAATCAACAGTCATGAAAGCAGCAGTCAAGAAATCAAACTACATATTGGATTAGGCAAGTGTGTTGCACAAGACGTCTTTAAAAGTGTTAAAGAGGAAAGATATCAGTTTGAGAATGAAGGAGCACCTGACCAAAGCCATGATATTTTCAATTACCTCATATGACTATGAAAGTTCGACAATGAACACAGAAGGCCACAGAAGAATCTATGCATTTGAATTATGGCACTGGAGAAGAATATTAAAAGTACCATGGACTACCAAAGAACAAACAAATCAGTGTTAAAAGACATGCAGCTAGAATGTTCCTTAGAAGCCAATATGGTAAGACTTGGTCTCTCATACTTTGGACATGTTTTCTGGAGGGACCAGTCCTTGAAGAAGGACATTATGCTTGGTAAAGTGAAGTGTCAGCACAAAAGAGGAAGCTCTCCAATGAGATGGATTGACACAGTGGCAAAAACAGTTGGCTCAGACGTAACAACTGTGAGGATGGCACAGGTTTGCTCTGAGTCAGAACCAACATAAGGGCACTTAACCACCACCATTCCCCCAGATATAATGAAACAGAATCTCTGCTTTTACTCTTCTTTCCCCTGTCACTCCTTAAAGTCCATGCCAGAGCCTGATGAGTAGAATCAGTTAAGGCAAATCTGTGTAATCTATCTCACTGAAGAGAAAGTTTCCCTGCTGGGATACAGAGTTTACAGTTGTTGGAACTGAGGGCTCAAGTTAGAATGCTTTTGTCCAAATCTTCCATTATGTACTAGTTGTATAACTGTACCCAGGAGGTTACTTATCCTATCTGAGCCTGTTTCCTCATTTATAAAGTAGAATAATAATAGTACTTCATCTCTCATACTTCAGACATATTGTCAGGAGGGGCCAGTCACTGAAGAAGGATATCATGTTTGGTAAGGTAGAGGGTCAGAGGAAAAGATGAAGACCCCCAGAGAAATGGATTGGCCAAGTGGCAGCATCAATGGACTCAAGTGTGGCAACAATAGTGAGGTTGGCCCAGGATCGGGCAGTTTCGTTCTGCTGTGCATAAGTTCATTATGAGTCGGTACTGACTCGACAACAACAAACTTTATAAAATTGTTGTGATAGTGATTAAATACAGGTAAAATTCCTGGCAAATGCACAGCATATTAAATGCTTTGTAAATGTCAATTACTAGATGATGTCAGTATAAGGATAATTAGTTTGGTAACCAGTCTTCTTTACTCCTTGATTAGACTTCAAGCAAAGCCTATCAAGAAACCTTTTGAGATTAAGCACGACTTTGAGAAGTTCCTGAACAAACTGGTATGTCTCCTTTCTGAAAAACAATTGAGATGTCTCTCTCTAGCTTTCTCTTTTATAGACAATCCTTAATAAGCAATATATGGTTTCATGGGGTCCTGGTATAGTGCTGTCAGATAAGCACTTGACTGTTAACTGTAAGGTTGGCAGTTCAAATCCATCAGTTACTCCTCAGAAACTCTATACAAGCTCGCTATGAGCCAGAACCAACTTGATATATCACTTAACAATGTGGTTTCACATCCAAGTTACAGTGGCAGGACAGAATACATTCTTGCTATTTATTCATTTACATTCACAATTAAGACAATTGTGTTTTATACATTAATGACCATATTATGCTTACTTATGCCCATTCTTTGCCTTTGGCCATGGGTAATATGTAACTGGAGACTTCCAAACGCATTCAGGACTACAAACTAATGGAGTAGTATTGATGCTTGAAGTCATTTTATTTTCCATTAATAATTCAACTATATCAGAAAACTAAATACTACTGAAGTAGATGGTCTCTGATCTTAATTAACTGAAACACAAGGCAGCATGTTATAAGATTCTAAAATAGGACTTAAGTGTGAGAAAGAAAGAAAAGGAAGGAGACTGTTTCATCTTTACCATACCAGTTTTCCCTGCTCCATCTTACATTGTGGGTAATTCTGAAGGACGTTTTCTTCCAATAAACAAGAACATGTAAAGCATGGTGGTGGTGATGATGTGCCATGGAGTCGGTTCTGACTCATAGCAACCCTGAACAGGGTTTCCGAGGCTGTAAATCTTTACGGGAGCAGAAAGCCTCATCTTTCTCCTGAGGAACAGCTGGTAGTTTCGATCTGCTGACCTTGAGGTTTGCAGCCCAATTCATAACCACTACGCTACCAAAGCTCCTTTGTAAAGAACAATGAATCAGAAAATTAAACAACTGGAAGTCAGGAAGGAGAGATAAACTTTTACGATTAGCATATTACACTTCCACGTAAAAAATCTAGAATAATCCCACTGACTATTACTGTATAATCACTGTGGACCACAAGGTTGGTTTGAACCTCAAAGTCGTTGGTACAAATTCACCATCTGCTCAGTGGAAACCCTATACAGGGTCACTGTGAGTCGAAACCTACTCATCGGCACTTAACAACAACAATAACAAATGGTATGATGATAGAAAGGAGTGAAGCACTTGGGGTTTAACAAAACAAACAGAACTATTCTTTACTTCTGCACACAAACAAAATTCTCTCTTTTTTAAAAAATCTCTTTGACAACTGACTTCAATTGGTAAATGGCTTCAGTAGCAGGGAAAATACAAGTTGTGAGGACGGTGGCTCACTGGAGACTCCATACAGGAGCTAAACAAGGCAGCTACTGACTCTGCTCTAGTTCATCTTTGCCAATGCAAAGTCCAGATTTTTCTGTAAAATTTCCTGACTGGAATCCCAAATGGTTCAAACTAAATACATCATCAGACCAGATGTGGCCTGTGGGCTACCAGTTAATAACCCCAGCTAGATTTGGAGGGCTTCAACAGCTGGCTCCAGCCGCATTGTTGCTGCTTGCTAAGTGCTGTTGAGTCCGTTCTGACTTATAGTGACCCTACATAGGGTTTCTGAGGAGCAGCTGGTGGATCTGAACTGCCAACCTTGCTGTTAGTAGTCCAGTGCTTATCCTACAGCCCCACACCAGGACTTTACCAGTATAGGCAGTCTTACTCTTCACTGCATGCCCTCCACTCCCACTGAGCCTCCTGCATAAAACATGATTGCCTGTCTGCATGCTTGGCTCATCTGCAATGCTTCATCACCTTTCAAATTCTACTCCTTTAGGACCCAGCTCAAGTTCCATCTTTTGCATGAAACTTCTTCCAATGGCATTACCTCATATCGTTCCCAGACATTTTTGATATTTCTTATAACCTCTAGAACAACACTTAGTAGTGGCTGGATTGAAGAATAGTGCTTTCCTTCTGACCAGAAATTGAACAAACATAGAGTAGACCCTGGTTTAGAATGACTGTGTCCAGCAAAACAGAGTAATTCTATTACATGAAAGCTGGAAATCTTTAGTCACCAAATGAGGAATCACTTGATGAAAAATCAAATGGTATTTGCCATTTTCTTTACAGTGATCCAAGTATCTTTAAGGGAATTATATACCTACTCTAAAAACCTTCATGGAAAAGGCAAGACTTTAAAAAAATTATAAACTTAAATAAATTAAAGTTTTAGATTATTGGGTCAAGATAATTCAAATTCTTTCAACAAATTAACTTAAGCTTTCTAAGGTATTTACGTTTTTGCTAAGAATAAGAATGTACCAGAAATTTTAGAAAAGATATTTATTGACTTTACTAGTACGTTAGGTATAGCTTTTGCTTCACTGAAACCGAAATTTTAGATAATAAGTCTAATCTTTGAATTGCACATTACCAAGCAAAAGCAATCACAGTCTAATAGAAAATTGGGATAAATCTTTGGCTAATACATAAAGACTACTGATATCTCAATTAATCCCATTATTTCAGCACAAAAAAATGCTTCGTCTGAATCTTCACACAATTCAGAAAGGGATCCCATTTTTGACCACCACCACGTGGCTAAACATTTCTGCTGACTTTTGGTCCTACACGTCTTCTAAATATTCTAAACATTGGTAAACACTCATCGGCACCCATCAACACAACTAAGCAGCCCCAAAACCCATCCTAACACCTTTTCATACTCACTGTCACTTGCATACCTACATACCTGCCCTCCACTGGTCCACCTGTACAGACAAGCCTGGCTAAAATGGATGCTAGGCATGGGGAGATTTTCCCAAAATAGTAGGCATACCCCATGGACTGCAGAGGCATTTGAGAAAGGGTAGAACAAACTGGGGAAACAGTCAATGCCATGAATAAATCAAGTTATATGGATTATCCAGATAATTCTCTCTTTCAATGTGAACAGAAACAGATTAAATGTGTTTTATCTAAGTTTCTCTATTAAATGATGAAAAGCTCAGGGTCTAAAGAATTAAAAGTGATTATTTATATGAAATCACATGGTTAGAAAATAATTGAGAGGCTTTCATATCTTAAATGGGGGAATCTCATATTCAGGAGCTCTGGTAGTGTAGTGGTTATGAATCGGGCTGTGAACCGCAAGGTCAGCAGTTTGAAACTACCAGCTGCTCCGCAGGAGAAAAGATGAGGCTTTCTGCTCCTATAAAGATTTACAGCCTCAGAAACCCTGTTCAGGGTTGCTATGGGTCGGAACGGACTCAACAGCACTTAACAACAACAACAACATAGTCAAGTATATCATGTCGAGGAAACTCTGTGAATACTTAATCATGTATTATTTTAATAGCGTTGTGAAGATCGGATTGACAAAGAATTCATGGCTTCATTGTCGTCGTCTTCAGCAACAGAAGACTTTGAGGAAGAAGAACACCAAATGAAACACGCTATTCAAGAATAATGGGAACAATTCAATTTTATCTGTTTAATTGTCACACTATGGTTAATTCAAGCCCAATTCATAAGAAGAGGTCAGTGTTGTGTGTTGTACTATTCATCTTTTAAAATCTTCAAATCAATAAATCTCACTAAATCATCCTTAAAAGATCTGGCCAAGCATAATCTTGGCTCTTATTGGTAGAAAACATATTTTTAAATGGAAAAATAATCATTATGAAGCATAGAGAACTTTCAACCGTTTCTTTGGAAATACATCTTGATAATAGCAACCGTTCATCATAATACAAAACAGAAAGAGGATTAAATTACTGTGGTATAGAAAGTTCTGCCAGGTCCTAAATGCCCTGAATAGTTTTGCTGAGATGTTTTACATTGTTTAGGCCTCAAGGAAAACCAAAGCCCCGCCTCCAGGTTTTGTTGCAAACAAACGCTGCTTCTCTGGTACTGAGCTTGCCTGACTCTTCTGGTAATAAGCTTCCTGCACTTTTGCTAGGAAGCTGGGTAGCATGTCAGCGGGCACTAATGATACTGTGCAGCCTCCCCATCCTGCTCCAGTAAGTCGGGACCCTTGAGCTCCAAACTTTCTGAAAAAAACAAAAGAGAAGAAAAAGTCAGAATCTACACATGAAATTAGAGTGATTTGCCTTTTGCTTATAGAACACAAAGCTACTCAACTTTTGTGGGGGGTGGGGTGGGAGTGGGTGGTATAGTCAAATATGTCAGGACGCAAAGAAATGTATACAGTTTCGAAGGGGGAATCTGAAGGTTAAATATACCAAATGCTAGTCCCTGGTTTGGTCTGCAAATAGTAAAAGTCAGCAGAATGCCCATTTCATGAGGGCTGTAATAACACACTGGCCTCCTTGATTCCCTGTTAGCAAGTCTATGGATGCATCAGGAAGGCAGAGTAAAAGGGAAACACGGAACGGGTATAATCGACATTGTGAATCAGAAGGTCACAACAATTGAGGACAAATCAAAATTTAAAGTGCACAATTTTAAGCAACTGAGGGCTTCCTCTGATGGTGAGTTCAGCAGTATTCTTAAGACTTAGCTATTTCACATCAAAGAATCAGTCCCCTAGAACAGTCTAAATTCATGCTGCATAAATGTATCAACTAAGAGCATATCATTAAATTCTAGGCCGATGGGTTTGCTTAATCCCTGATGGAAAATTATGAAAACCTTCCCACAAAGGCTGGTGGCCCCACAGACTCAGGCCCATGTTTCCTGTGTCCTCTGACAACTGGACTCTGAATTTACCATCAGATGAAATGTGTCTGATTGGGATGGAAACTGTTATATAAACTACCACACAGCAAGAGGTAATTTTAGTCACCACCAACCAGGCACAGTTTCAAACCTAAGATTTGAACCAAAGTGAAAGGCCCTTCAGACAGTGCAAGGATCACTCATCTTTGAAAGATGCAATTTATCCTGACAACGAAATTTACCATGTACTTCCAATTCTTCCTAATGAAATTTACTCCAAATTAGTAACAGATTAAGAACTCCATAATTAATTTAGCACAATTTTGTCCCTTTTTTCCATAGAAATGAGCTACTTTACTTCCTGGAAAATATCAATAGACTATTACCCCTACCCTAGGACATC